TCTGCAGTAAGTATTCAGTCCAGATAAATACACTTACTTGTCTTACAGAAATAGAGAATAATTGCATTGGATTGTTTACAGGTGATTACGTCACTCGTTTTCCCGCGTTTTCATCGTGAACATCAATAATCATTCGAGAAGTGTCCAATACTTTGAGGAAAAAACTGTTTACGACAGTGATCATTTTATTGTATAGATAATAAATAAAAATGTTGGTCTCTTCATCGCATCAGAACATTGAATTTGGGTTAATTATAATAGTGGTTAATAAATTGACGAAGACTACCTTAGTAGTGAAAACACACTTTACGCCTCGAAAAGGAGTAAAAAATGATAGGTTGTAAAATGTGAATTACTGTTTAGTCACTGGAAAAGTTAGGGCAATTAGAGCGAATTTTTTTCGATATCATAATGAGGCAGCTTTTAACATATATTATACATGAATGAAATTGTCACTTATAATACGACTTGATGAGCTTCAATACTTCCTGTGCCTGTGAAGTTATCAGTTACTTCATATATACAGGGTGTCACATAATTCAATACAAATATTTTAATGACATATTCCTGGGGTCAAAATAAGACTTTTTTTTCCTATAAACATGTGTCCTAAAATCCACCCCCTCCAAGCTACAGACATCGCAAGATGCGCAAAAAAATCTTAAATTTTGAATTGTGGCTACAATTATGCATCAAATATTTTGAAAATACAAGTGCCTGTGAATTTTCAAAATATTTTATGCATAATTGTAGCCACAATTCAAAATTTAAGATTTTTTTTGCGCATCTTGCGATGTCTGTAGCTTGGAGGGGGTGGATTTTAGGACACATGTTTATAGGAAAAAAAAAGTCTTATTTTGACCCCAGGAATATGTCATTGAAATATTTGTATTGAATTATGTAACACCCTGTATACAGTGTGACCCACCTCAAATGGAACCATCCCTGTATCTCATGTAATCGTAAGGTAAGGATCCTGAAATTTGCTGGAGCGAGAGATATACCAAAACTGCACTCTATGACCAAGTGGGGTCATCTTCAGTGATATACACTGCTCGTCAACAGACATATGGAACCACCCAAATTTCCGGAAAATTATATTAGGAGTCAAAATAGGTTGAAAATCACCTCAGATTTGGAATCAGGACGCCCAATTTACTAACTATTCAAATTTTTCCTAGAAAATTTTCAGTTCGGAAATTTTGTCGCATTTTTTATGGAAGCACCCCCTTACTCACGTAATTATTGAGGTAGGGTTCAGAAATTTGCCGCAGGAAGAGAAAGTCCAAAGATAAATTCAATTACGCGAGATACTTGGGTGCTTCCATAAAAAATTGCGACAAAATTTCATTTTTCCGAACTGAAAATTTTCCAAGAAAAATTTGAATAGTTAGTGAATTGGGCGTCCTGATTCCAAATCTGAAGTGATTTCCGACCTATTTTGACTCCTAATATCATTTTCCGGAAATTGGGGTAGTTTCATGGCTGTTGGCGAACAGTGTATATCACTGAAGATGGCCCCACTTGGTCATAAAGTGCATTTTTGGTATATCTCTCTCTGCAGCAATTTTCAGGATCCTTACCCATAACGATTACGTAAAATACAGGGGTGGTTCCATTTTAAATGGGTCACACTGTATATATATAGATAGTTGTTTGGGTTTGTCCAGAAAGTAATGAGAAGAATGAAAAAATGAGTAATGCCAAGAACATTCAAAAATGAACGAAGCAGGTAAGGAAAAAAACTAGGTAATCTATTTTTAATTTCAAGAGTGTGGTGAAGATTTTGAAAAAATTGAAGACATTTATATAATATTTGTGATATAAAATGTTCCCAGTATTTGCGATAGATATATATTTATATGATTTGGCTTCACTCTCAGAATTGAGTACAATCTACTTCAATTCATCAGTTTCTTCCAAGTTTTGGAATCATTGGAAACTCACTGCCTGCACCTACCAAGGCTTCTATCAGGTTACCTCTGATACTTTTATAACTGCATATATCAAATTCAGCTCACTCAGTCCAAGTGAGGTCATCAATGAATATATAATACTTATTTATTTGTTTCTAATGGATTCCCCTTTTTCGATAACATCATTATGCATAAAGTTCTGAACAAGTTCACAGCAGCTCCGTGGCGATCCATAAACCATTGAGAACAATAATAATACATTACCGATTGTTAACCGTTCATAATGTGTTTTCACGGAAAACTTCATGATTCACAAAACTAATTTACATTCGGAATGCAAGTGTGAAAAGTAATTCACAGTTGGACAATGAGAAAAAGTATTAGGATGCCGATTGCACACCAGTAAGACCACGTAACCTCAACTACCCACATCAAAACTAATAAGCATTAGAAAATCATAAGTTATTATTGATTTTGAGAGCGTATATACAGGGTGAGTCAGAATAGGACCGACAAACTTTGTACACGGATTCCTCACCTCATTTTCAGGCAAAAAATGTATGTCCTGAAATGCATCCTCACTGAGATACAGGGTGTCGAAAGTACGAAAAAAGTTTAGATTTTTCTAAATTTCTCCAGAACCCCTGTAGCAAAAGAATTGAAACTTGGTATACCAATCCTTGATTATTTCAATAGATTATTTGGCGCATAGAATAGAAATATAAATATATAAATATTCGAAGCAAATGTTCAAATGGACCTCCATTTTGTTCAATACATTATTGACATCTTCTGATCATGGACTGTCGCACGTTTCTCGAACTAATTCTGACTCACCCGTACAATGCTTTTAATCCTCGTTTTAATCTTATCAACATTCAAAATGTTCAGGAGGTTGAAAAATGTTGTGATTTCTCGTAAAAGTTCAGAATTATGCGATTATGGTACGCAGCGAATTGGGTCTCAACCTCAAGACATATCTTTAGTTATTCTACACTTAGGCATGTTATTACTTTTAGGTTAGGTATTGATAAGACTAACTGATATGTTATACACCAATTTGACTAAGGAAAATGTGGCGATATACGACCCTAACTACGCCACTGGTTGACAAAATTGAGGAATGAAAACTCTATGAGTTTCACATCTTTTGCTACTAGGGTTCTGGAGAAATCTAGGGAAATCTCAACATTTTTCTTACTTTCGATACCCCTGTATATCAGTGAGGATGCATGTTACGACATACGTTGATTGAAACTTTTCACCTCAAAATGAGGTGAGGAATCCGTGTACGAAGTTTGTCGGTCTTATTCTGACTCACCCTGTATTCTGTAAGCTCTCTACTGTGCCTGTATACACTCACTGGCCACAAACAGGCCTGAAGAAAATTTAGAATTTAGCCAAATTACTTTTTCAATTCTTGTCTGAATTTGATGGTATTCCGACCAAAGCGTATATTTATAATTCGGAATGAATCAAAGTTCCAAAGAAAAGCTGATGCCTTGATTATTATAGAGGGTGAAACAGAAATTATCTTTCACCCTTAATCTCTCCATGCACGTATACTGTTAGAATAGGAAGTTGTTAAACTTAGCATCCTTATGTTTTGGATTGGAATATGATCTCTTTTTAACACAAATGTTCTTCATTCACTTCAATATCTTCTTTCTAGGATTCAATACGAGTGTTATAAAAAAGTACAGAATTCAAAATTATCAACAATAATTTAGAACCTACATGAATTTATCGATTAACAATTTGAAAAAGCATCTGAAAATCAATATCGCTTATTCCTGTTACGTTTTTCTACTCAACAGAAAAAAACTTGATTTACCAGAAATACAGAAAGAATACTTCCTATTAGATATAGTTATAATAACGATTGTGCCCTTCTCGACCTTGAATTACAGCATTCAACTGCAGTGGCATCAAGTTGATGAAATTTCTCAAGCAGTGTTGAAGAATTGCCTCAAATTCTTGAACGGTGAATCGTAGGTCTCGAATGAAAGTCTCGGATGGCAAAAACGAACGAAGACGAATTCGCCTCTGGAGTTCATTTCAAAGATGCTTTACAGGTTCTGGATTATTGTTAATGAGAATAAAGAAACTGCATAATTCCTTATAACACATTGTATCTTCTCTTACAAAGAAGATATATGGAGACGTAAATCAAAAACCACTATGTGAAGAAGGGATCGCACTTTTATTCAAAACTAAACGAATATGATTTTGATCACTTCCGCCACAGGGCGTTCAAAATGTAAGGGCGAGTGTAAGGGTGAAAGGATAATTTTTTGTTTTTCCCTGTATACCAGGACAAAATCTTTCTGGGGATAGGTCACAGATTAACAATACCGTAAGGTCTACGATATTGTAGTAATCCCCAAAAAGGATGTGTCTATCTCCTATATTACAATAGAGATATGGAGCTTCTCCAGATTTCCTTGGAAACTCTCTTCAGTAGTTTTGAAATGAAAATTCAAATATTCACAATATTCACAGTTATGTTATTACAGTGAGATCACTTTCACTGCTTATCATAATTATCAATAACGGATTCAGTAACAATTAATTATCTTTAGTTAATGTGACCAAACTGTTTTCTCACTGTGATAATTACTAACGAAAAAACAAAGAGAATATCTGTGTTATAGATATAAATACATTCGAAAAATCAGCGAAATCCAGAAATTATAGTTCGCAAAAAACAAAATGTTTTATCTTTCGTCTTCATGTTCTGTTGGAAAAAAATGTGAACAAGAAAAACTGATTCGGAAAGTCGTCCTATAGAAAAAATAATCAGTATTGTAGGTTGCGATGTAGTCAGATGAAATGAAGATTGAATGCAAATATAATAGAGAAAAATGTAAATACAATAGGACAGAAAAAAATTGTCAAATGACGTAAATTTTAGTATCTGATTCAAACTTGTGAGGGGTTGGAAAGAACCCATCACTCATTCGGCTTACATGATTTACCATGAATCACAATTTTATGAACGAACTACCAACACTTAGCATATGTCCTCTCAAGGGTAGGTATGGAATGTTTCAATACTTGTTTCAGCTAACCAAAAGAGGAAAAATGTCCCATCATCTAACACTGATAAAGAAGAAGAAATGCAATGCGTCATCCAACAGGTAGGTAGAATTTTTCCCTCTGGCATCATCATTCACCAGTGCAACAGATAAAATGCCATAAAACAGCTGACAGAAGAACAACCAAAGGAAGCTGCAGAACAATCGTCAGCCTACTCCGATCATTTTTCCCCATCGCGAGATATTTTAACACTCCCTCTTTCTGTCCCCATCGCAGCAGGAAGCATAGCAGGCCCAATTTATCTTCTTCGTTTGAATCGTTCTGTGTTCAGTGTTCGGTGCTGTTAGTTCTGGTCGATGAATCAGTGTAGTGTCGCTAACGATGCTAGTTCGGACTGAATGCGTGCTTTTCCGCGTCACCACATTCAAATCTAATTAATAACTTAATTGTTCGAATATTTGTTTTGTTTTGCAAACGCAGCCGCTAATCCGCCTACTAGAGTTATCTGTGCCACTGGAAGGATTTCGAGTTTCGCGCTTATCTCTGTAAATATATAGATATTGGTGTTTATTCTTTGTTTTTGTGATAAGTGATTTTTGGTGATTGCTGCAGTTGGCAGTTTTATGTGTAAGTTGTTCGGGAGCCCATGAGCTACTAAAAATATTCTTAACCATGTATCGGTTAGCGAACCATATGACGATATGCTCGACGATATGGTTCTATCATGAATAATAATTGGAACCATATTTTATTAATCCTCAGACGAAAATTCGAAATGTTCATCCTGCATGATATCACTTTACGCACCACCTATATATGTATATACCCAATACCTACCTAAATGTATGAATATTCTAGAGAATTTTTATAGGAATTTCTATGACAGCCAATTTGAATGATTCGACTATACCAATTTGTTTTTCCATTATAGATTGATTATTTTGATGCAAATACTCATAACTTCCATTCATAGCAAGAAACTATATCCTTTGATGGTGAATATATCTACCTACCTCACTCATTTAATCCCGTGATTGTAGCTTATTTCCCATGGGCAAATAGGTACTTTGGTCCCAAGATATATATTTTTGCATCTCCAAATTTTGCTATTGCCAGTTAGTAATTTTGTCATTTTCAAATCATAAAGTAACTCAGCAACGGTTTACATCATGCCCTAGGTCCTAGGGGCAAAACCTTTTGTCGTCAACCCCAAGATTTGTCGAATAATTTCTTTCATCAGATTACGTTTGATATCTATAGAATGGCGGAGCTTTGGAATGCATTCATGAAAACTTATAACTTGGAGTTGAAGAATGATATATTGTTTAACGAGCACGGAATGATAGTGATTCCCTACGAGAATGAATTTTGCAGCATGAACCATAGACGAATGATGCAATCATTCGAGTGGGAAATTAGCATTTCGTTCAAGTTATACACTATAATTTTTCTACTGCTGTAACAGCGGCGTTTTCGATTTCTTCGTCTTGTAGCCATCTGATTTCCTGTTAAGTAAAGCCCATCTATTAGACACAGCTGTCATTGCTTGAAATTTGACATTCCATGGGCGATGAGTTTTTTTTCAAATAATAACAAAATGGAGTCATTGTGATATTAGATACGGAAATAAAATTGATGACATACAAAGTACCTCATTGATGTATCGAACCGAGTATCGAACACAGTAATACAAGAGCAATCTTGTGTTATAGCCGTAGAAAAAATACGTACCTTCTCTACCTATCTTTCTTAAGTATGCACAATATTCCTTGAAAATAATATGGATCCCCTTTATGCGCTTCAATGAATTCTATAATATAGATAGAAACCTCGCACAAGTTTCGATTTCTGGGGGAGTTGGTTCCGCAGCATGCAACTTTGAGGGAGATCTGGTATACAAAATTCACTACCCATGAGAATACAGTAATTTCCACTGATGGGTCTAATGTACGAAAATAGTAATCTATCACACTGTACACTTCATATCGTTACAAAGTGAAAGGGGCCAAACCACATGTGTATATTCACTCATATTTCATTAACATTTTTGACGCCATCGCCGATGAAAACAAAAACATTTCAATAACGATAACTCTTGATCACATTAAATCAAATCATGAAATGCGTGAACTGTGTTAATTGGCTTCAAGCCGATTCATTTCGAGCTATACACTAACCAATACATATGATCGGCACTCGGTATACCTATCGCAACGATTTGTTCGACATGATTGTGTTACCGGACAAACCCGAATTCAGGATAAACTAGTTTTTCCTAGGCTAAATCGGAATATCCGATGAGCGATAGGATAAACTAGTTTGTTAATATTTTATGAGGAAGGAACATACTCTATGAGTAAATCATTCGTGAACGAAGTCATTGAATATTTTAGCAATCAGCTTGATTTGTTCCCGAATGATCTACTCATAAAGGTGTATGTTCCTTCCTCAAAAGATATTAGCAAAGTAATACGAAGTAGTTCAGACTAGGACAAACTAGTTCATCCTATCGCTCTTCGGATATACTGATTTAGCCGATGATTTAGCCTCGGATTCAGCTTAGGAAAAACTAGTATATCCTTGAATCGGGTTTGTACAGTAACACATATAAATGAAAATTATCATTTGGCAGGTGACACATTTGATATATCGAAAATCCATCATTCGATGAAATTCTTGATAATGATTATGAAACGTGAAGAATAGAATGGTATGTTTGATACACTTGCATAAGTAACAAGTACGAAAGAGAAGAGGAACGAATTCCATTGGCAGGAACTGGTGGAGTTTCTCCACTGAGTGTATATTTACCACTGTTTAACACATGCGAGTAAGATGGAAACATATACATTGAGTGCAGAAACACTCCACCAGTTCCTGCCAATGGGATTCGCTATATGTTTCGTGGCATGCTCGAATTATATTGTTTTGTAGCATACTATACACTTCATCTTTTGAATGATCCCACAGAATTAAATCTGATGAGCTGGATGAATCTGGGGATCGTGCTGGTCATCATATAGGGCCAATATTCCCAATCCCCAAACTGGTTACTCAGATATCTAGTACATCATTCGTCTGATTCCGCCTCTAGATTTTAGATTCATGATAATGCTGAACGAAACTCCTCATGCTATGCTATTAACAACTTAATTGACTTTATCTAGGGCGTATTCATGGATGGTGTGATACATCATTGTGTTCGTAAGCTAATAAGCTACTAAAACTAAGTTAGTGCGGTATGGGCTAAGAGGTGGTATGACGAGGAGTAGTCAGAACAGTGATAGCATCACCCGTTTTCCAGAGAAAATGCGTTCATCAATCGAGTTGGGATACCCGGTATATATATAAGGTATATCATAGATATTATACCGAGTATTATACCTGCACAGCAAAATAGGTGCTATCGTAACAATTTTGAAATACAATTCATACAATCATGTCGTAGGTAGCTTAATTTTTGTTCGATCACATTCCTAATGCGATACCAGGCGAGTATACTATACTGGGTGAGCTATACTGAGTGTTCAACTCAATGCTGTCAATGGGTTGTATTATCATGCGAATTAAAAATAAAAATAATCACAAAATGACTTGCACTCACGAGCGGTAGTTCAAGTGAAACATTTTGATTTCCATATAGAAAAAACAAAATGATCATAGAAATCTCATACCAAGATACTCTCGACTGTAATAATAATGATGATAATAATAATAATGATAATAATGATAATAATTAATGATAATGATATACATTGGCGGGTATAGCAACAGGTGTGACCAAGTCCCACCTCCTCTGCACAAGACTCCTCCAGGGATAACTGCCGGTCACATATCTCCCGCTTTCAACCGAGTTTTTAACCGACAGCACCCCGAGGAGTAATGGAGAATTTGGAAACGCCAAATCAGCGCGCTAGTAATGGCAAGTTCTCCTGCTACCATTCTATTATACCAATGGTGAGGCCGTCTGATACAAGTTCTGCAGTGTCAGTGCCCGATTAGAAACGCTGCTCACCCGCCCAGGCAGGCAAGATATCCTTCCACGTGATCCAAAGTGGGATTCTTCTTCACCTCCTCTACCGTAGTTCGAATATGTTTTTTAGATACCTCTGCCCCGAGCTCTGCCCCATGGAGTCCAAATTGGTAAGGCATCAGGGCGCAGGTGCACCCTGATGGGGCTATCCTCACCACCCCAGGTACCCATGTCAACAAGAATCATCTCGTCCCGTCTCATCTGTATTCGGTCTAGGACTTTCACACGTTCCTTCACCTCGTTAGCAGGAGTTGACCAGGCTTTGCCTACGGTGTCTGACGGTAGGATCGCTTGTCTTGGGGCTACCCAATCCCTGACGAACTAAGGCACAAGGTACACCAAGGCCATCTTGAAGAAGATAGCGAAATTGAGGAGATATATATTCGAAATCTCGTTGAAAATCAAAAGCAATGTTTAATCTTATTTTGGTCGATTCCATATCAATTTCAAGATTAAACTTTCGACGTCAGCAGAATGCATGGTGAATGAGCCATCATTGATTATTTGAATGAGTTTTGAAGTGAAATCTCAATGGAATGAATCAAAAATACTCATACGATTGGATTTCATAAATTTCGCGAAGAAATATGAAATTGAAATGTATGAAACTTCCAAAGAAACTTCCCCATTACCTGGAACACGTAAACCGTGGAGATGAATGGACGGATTATGCCCCCTGGACGGATTATGCCCCCTGGAGTCCAATCCAATTGGTGAGGCATCAGGGCGCATGTGCACCCTGATGGGGCTATCCTCACCACCCCAGGTACCCATGTCAACAAGAATCATCTCGTCCTGTTTCATCAGTATTCGGTCTAGGACTTTCACACGTTCCTTTACCTCGTTAGCAGGAGTTGACCAGGCTTTGCCTACGGTGTCTGGCGGTAGGATCGCTTGGCTTGGGGCTACCCAATCCCTGACGAACTAAGGCACAAGGTACACCAAAGTCATTCCGAAGAAGATAGCGAAATTGAGAAAATATATATTCGAAATCTCGTTAAAAATCAAAAGCAATGTTTCGATTCCATATCAATTTCAAGATTAAACTTTCGGTATGACGTCAGCAGA